AATAAAATAACAAAGCAATTAAATTAAAGGGGAACTGACTATCAAGGGGATGTCTGGCTCAAGGGATGATGCAGTTATGACACTTGTGTTTTATCATTAGTTCAATAAAGTTAATTCTTATTTAAGTATCAATAAATTGGTTATAGTTATCAACAAGCTCTGACAACCAATTTTTCCTTACAGTGTAGGTAATTAAGGTACGACCGTTAACTACCCCTAATTAAGCAAATAAACCTAGGTGTGCCCATAAGAATATTGTCTAACCGCATTCCAATCTAGAAAAACCCAATTCAAAACAATTACTACCTAAGAGAAGCAATTAGATTTGATTGTCTAACCCCCGGGAAGGAACTATTCAACCCGGTTGTCGCCTATTCAAGTGCGAATACAATTATGGATATCCTACCTGAATTGACTTTAGATTATCAGACTAATTTAAATATCGGTACCAAAATATTCAATCAATCTAACAATCACAAACGCTATTCTCAGAATTAGACAAATATTGATAATAAAAAAGAACTTTTATAAAGAAAATCAAGAATTTCCAAAACAAAAGAACCAAAACATTATCACCCCTCAAACCAGAAAAGTATCTACTCCATATTGAAATAACAAAGAGCAAAAGAGAAGAATAAAGTCATAGTGGGAGGGGAAAATCTTCTCTGTCGATTTGCTCCTACGTGGTCTATGAATCTGTCAGTATCCTGCTCCTGTGCGTTTCTGCCCTAGCCGTTCTCTCCTCCCCAAAAATGGCGTGTCTTTCTTTCTTTTTTTTATTTTGATTTTTGCCCTAATTATTTTGTAGATGGGCTTTTGGGCCTTTAATTAATTTTATTTCTTTTTTCTGCCAATTATGCCAAATTTAATATTTACCCTCTGCACACCGCAAATAAACAATTCGCATATAAATTAGATAGAATCCAATCAAAATCATCCAAATATCGCATGTGATATGAATATAAAACACATGAATTTCTAACTATCAAGCAACTAGAGGCAAGCACCACTAGGAAATTATATAATCAATTTTAAAAAATTCTGCATAGGTAATTGTTAAATTGAATTAGGCTCTTCTAGTTTGAAAAGTGATTAGGCTAGTAAATTCTGTGTGGCGTCACTAGGGTTCTAGTCTAATTAGGGAAGCAGTTAATGAGTGTATCTTGACTATCAAAAAATTTAAGAAATAGTTGGTTATTAAGCATGTGTCGGTAACTATAACTAATTTATTTAGAAGCCAATGAAATTAAATCACTAAATTTGTTACTATTCACTAAATTTATTCCCAAAAGAAAAATGAAATAAAACACCAAAATTTCATTTTCGATATTATACTAAAAATTAATTTACATTCAAAATATCACATTAATACATATTTATATCATATCATACAACTATTCTAATTCAAAAATTTTACTATTCAAATCCAAATCCAAAATCCAAACCCCGAAACAAACAAACCCTATAGATGAAATAGTAGTCAAGTTCCAATCCTTTCAAGAACACCTATTGTATTTACAAAAGCATTTTTGAAAATAAGGCAACATAAACTAAAGATGAACCTACAAGAATGTGCCTTCGGTGTTCAAACTAGCAATTTTCTTGGTTTTCTCATACATAAAAGGGAATTAAGGTGGATGTGAATAAAGCTAAGTTATTTAGATGCTCGGTCCACATAGAAATATCATCAAATTATAGAATCTTATAGAGAAAATAAATTTCCTTCGAAGATTCATTGCCAATACTACCGGGAAGATGAAAGAATTTTTTATGCTATTGAAAGGAAACAAATATAAGTTTGAGTGGAAAAAGTCACAATAGAAAGACCTAAACCAAATTAAGCATGTATTGGCATACCTATTGATTATAGTGCCGTCTATACCAATGAAGAAATTGAAGTTGTATAAGATGCTACTAATGACACGATAAGATGTTTACTTGCTCAGGATGATGCAAAAGGGCAAGAATGAGCAATTTACTATCTGAGTGAAAGCCTGAATGATGTGGTATCCTATTTTTATCCCATTGAGAAGTTATACCTATTCTTGTATCACATGTGTACCAAGTTACAGACCAAGGTCTTATGCAAGGTGGACTTCTCGATTGGTTCCCCGTGGCCATCTACATAAATGGGCCATAAATATAGTCTTATTTCCTTGACATGTGAACCTCTAGGTTCCATCAAAGGGTAGGATGTTGCAGTTTTCCTCGTAAAGCATCCTGCAATGGTAAAATTTCAAAACGTTCCATTGTTGTATGTGAGATTGGAACCTTGACAAGTAATGTTTAATGGATCTAGCACAAGGGATTTTTCTGGTGCTGGAGTTGTCATCATCAGTCTTAAAGGGGAGAAATTATGGTTTGCATATCAACTTCCGTCAAGATGCAGCAACAACCAATCAAAATATGAGGCCTTGATGATGGAATTACAATTTTTGGCTTCTAAATGAGTGAGGAGTGTGAGCATTAAAAAAGATTTTCAACTGGTAATTCGCCAGACATTAGAGAAATTTAGATGTAAGAAGCCATACTTTCAAGGTCTCCTAGGGGAAGTTAAAGAGTTGATGAGATTGTTTGACAAGTCAGTTTTGGAGGATATTTTTAATGAGGAAAATACTGAGGAAAAAAATTTGGCATATGAAGCTTGTAGATACCAAAATAAGTGTCAAGCATGGCATCAAGTGTGTGTGTCAATATTGACCCACGCAAATTGGCGCAAAAAGTATTTTAAAGGGGTAGCTGACTTAAGCAAAATAAAAGGCAAGTAAGGGAGAAATTACTCAGATTCACTGTGTTGAATGAAGAATTATTTTCTGTAGGCCGGATGGTACCCTTACACGATATTTGGGTCCTATGAAAGCTAGAAAGGTAATGACAAAGGTGCATGAGGGTATTAAAGGATCTCACATAATAGTTCAAACATGAGGTGGATGATTTTTCCAATACGGATATTTTTTGCTAACAATTTCTCAACATTGTGCGTATTATGTCCGTGGTTGCAAAGCTTGCCAACTTCATGGGCCTATCAGGCAGAGTCATGTAAAAGAATTGCATTCTATTACAAAACCATGACTTTTTCGAGCTTTGGCTTTAGATATTTTTGAAAAAATTTATCCACCATCATCGAATGGTGGTTCTTTCATCCTTGTTGCTACAGATTGTCTTACTAAATAGACTTAAGTTGTTCCTTTCATTCAAATCCGTCAAAATCATGAGACTAAGTTCATTAAATATAACTTGATCCATCGGTTTCGTATTCCGCATATGATAACCACTAATAAACGAACAAAGTTTACTAGTGCTAAGGTCAAAACCTTTGCCGCACAATACAAAATCAAAGTTTTGCATTAAACACCTTACTATTCCTAAGCCAATGGGAAAACATAGGCGATCAACAAAGTGCTAATTTATATGGTTAAGAAAGCATTAGAAGGAACTGCGCGAGGATGGCATGAGGTGGTGGAAGAAGTATTACTGGCTTACCGCAATGCTAAATCATCGGCCACTGGAAGTACGCCATTAAGATTGACTTATGGGCAGGACACAATGTTGACTATAAAAATTATTGTATCATCCTTGAGGATACTTAAATAGGACCAGGTGTTGATTAACATAACATTACATTGCTTCAAGAGTAGGATTAATTACTTGAGGAAAAACTTTGGGCCTTGGATCATATTCAAATTAAAAAAAAAGGCAAGTAGAGAAGATGTATAGTAAGTGTGTCGAGCCTAAGTCCTAGGGGGATTTCCCGTAATTAGAATGGTTGGGTGATTGCAAATCGAAAGTGGAAAAACGCTAAAAATCGAGGATGAACCGTCGGAGGAGGAGTCGGTAGCAAAGTTTTGGAACTTCTCAGATGCCATTTAGGTAAAGGAATAATGAAGGAAGTGAAACAATTTTTTAAAGAGGAGAAGAATGGATAGTATTTCAAGAAGGAAAAGATGGCAATTTGGCATGAGAAATAATCTTGGTCCAGTCGAAATGATGTAAATTCCAGTTTCCCTACTTCATGCAAAGTAGTACTACAGTAATGACAATTTTGTCCAAAAATATGATATAAAATTGTATTTAATCATCACATTTTTACATTCCATTTTTGTGGTGGCATTATGTTTGACCGAAAATAAGAATTGAGAGAGAAAAGTGTGACATGGCCCAAAAAAGGAATGATAGAATATGGCTCAAGGAGAGATATCGAATAGCCCAATGAGAAGGATGATAAAATTGTGCAAGTGAAAATTAAGTAAATAAGAGATGGGTGAATGGGATTATTGTGACAATTATATAAAAACATATTGATGGGGCTTAAAGAAGCATCAAGATAGATGATTAATTGTAGAAGTTAGTTGGAGAATGAATGAAATACAATAAATAATATCGATGAGAATAATAAAAGCACAAGAAGATGATAAGAGATGAGGACGAGCAGATAGATTTAACAATACACAATTGGATCAATTTTCTCATTCAATCAAATGTTATTCGGTTTTATCATTTTCTCTTGTATTTTCTTGCTTATTTATACATTTTGTTCTTGTTTCTTACCTTGTTATTCAAGTTCGATTTGCTTAGTGTGTTTGTTCCCTATTGAATTCTTGTTTTTTTTAATCACCCTGCACTCACATAAAATATCCATTTTAAAGGTTTTTTTAGTATCTTATGGGATCCTCGTATCAATTTTTCAATTGGCTTTCTTCGTAAATTATCTAGAGAGCGAATTTCTGAATTTCGAATATAAAAAAATTCGAATAATTAATTAATATGATATAAATTATTGATATGATATTTTTAATTTAATAATAAAATTTTCATATAATATAAAATAAAAAGTTAACTAATGTAAAAAACTTATGAATGGTAAAAATAATTCCATAAATCCCCGAGCATACATTATTACACAGCCTGAATGGCCCTTGAGAAAGTAAAGTCCAGCTCGACCTGGTTTGTAACTTATCGGGTCGGGCCGGGTGGAGCAGAGCAACAACACCTAGTCCAGAAACTTCTCTTGCACCTTCTTTATATCCGCCGCATATATAATCGTCACTCGATTTTCTCCTCCAAGATCGAAAACCCCAAACCCTACCTTTCTACTCTGCCAGATTGAACGATTTTAATGGGTTCAAGACGATCGGATTTCGGCGATAGCGCTAGCCCTGGGTTTGTCTCGTTGTCTTGGCTTCTAATATGTGTTGATGCGATGAGCGATTAGGTTGATGAATTTGATGTTTTGCTTGATACAGGAAGATTTTCATCGGTGGTCTGGCCAAAGATACTACCTTAGGTTTATATTTTATATGAATCGCTTTTTCCTTGATGATTATGGATGAAACCATCTATTGCGATGTACTCTTTTCGCATACTTTTTGATTTCGAAATTAAAAATTTGTAGATGCTTTTGTCAAGTACTTTGGCAAATATGGAGAGATAACTGATTCGGTAATCATGAAGGATCGGCACACAGGTCGACCTCGGGGTTTTGGTTTCATAACCTATGCGGATCCCGCTGTTGTTGATACTGTTATTGCTGAAACCCATATCATCAATGGGAAGCAGGTGAGGTCTTTTCATGGTTTTTTCCGATAATTGTAATTGGGTTGATCGTTTAAGTCTAGTTTGATGGTAAATATGGATGTGATGCCTAAGTGGATCGGGATTGTTGGTTTGATTGAATGGCGTGTCTATTGCTTTGCCACGAATTCAGATTGCATGGCTCTCTATTGTTAAGTCACAATAAGAATTTCGAGGGTTTTGATATAAATAGTTAAAGTTTGAATTTGAATAGTTTGTTGATGCGAATAGATATAAATTAAGACTTGATGTGATGTTTTGAATATAAAGTTGATTTTTTAATTTAATATAAAATATAAAAAATTGGTGTTTTATTTGGTGTTTTTTGAATGAAAAAATTTGTGAATAGTCGAAATCAAAACAAATAATCCAAACAAACCCACCCTAAGTTTATTATCTTTGTTTTCTGTGTGGGTGAAATGGATGCTAAGTTCAGGGGCTTAGTTTTTGCAATGGCCTGTATAATTGAAGTGATATGCTTGGTCATATGCTATTCTCAATCTTTTTAAGTGTTTGAGCTAAGTGGAAATTATTGCATTTCTCTGTTAAAAAATGTTTCCCATGTGAATGCATTTATCAGTTGATTTACTGAAAGCTAATATAAAAGTATAAATTGCCAAATCATATGCTACATTAAGTGAGAAATGGTTCTCTTACAAACATCTTGTTTGAATGCATAAGTTTATTTGAGAACTAATGCCAAAGCATAATATATCAATCATATTCTATCTCTGAGTAACACTCCTTGTAGCAACTTCCTTTCTGTTCTTGAGTGCTGATAGAACTATGCACTGTCAGGTGGAGATTAAAAGAACTATTCCCAAGGGGTCAGGTGATTCTAAGGATTTCAAAACGAAAAAGATATTTGTTGGTGGTCTTCCAACATCAGTTACAGAAGGTTCGCATTTTCCTTTGACTTGCATGTTTATTGATACTATGGTTGCATTAGCACTTTGCGAAATTATACTTGGCTTTGTTGTGTGAAATTATTGTGTGCAGATGAGTTCAAGATTTTCTTCTCCAAGTACGGTAAGGTGGTTGAGCATGAGATAATTCGAGATCATGTGACCAAGAGGTCACGTGGCTTTGGATTTATTGTGTTTGACAGCGAACAAGTTGTGGATAATCTTCTGAGTGATGGAAATATGATTGATATGTTGGGTACACAGGTATAGTTTCTTATGGTATTTTTTGGTTGTTGGTGTGGTCATGGCTATCCTACTAAGATAAACAGTTCAAAGCCATAAGTGCTTTAGTTGTTAGGTTCTAAAGCTTTTAGATGGTCAACATCGTATTATTTTAGTGATTCACCTCCCTTGAGTTAAATTTTATGATAGAATCAGGGTATAGGTGTCCCTAATATAGCTTGTGATTTAGCTGTTATTTGCAGGAAGTTCTAGGTTAACTTGCTTCTTTGTTGTAGGTTGAGGTCAAGAAGGCTGAACCAAAGAAACCTTCATACCCACCACCTGCTCCTGCATACAGTAGTGATTCTAGGGGACGTGGTGGTTATGCTGATAGTTATGGTGGTGGTGGTTTTGGAAGCTCTTATAGCAATTTTGGCAGTGGCAGTTATGGCACTGCTTCCTATAGGTCTCTGGGGTCTGGTCTTGGTGGTAGGTTTGGCGACTATGGTGGATATGGTGGTACAAGCGAACTTGGGGGTCGTTATGGCGATTATGGTGGTAGTGAGTTTGGTTATCGGGGAGATGGCCCCCTTGGCTACACCAGTCGATTTGGTTCATATGGTGGAGGCTTTGGTGGGGGCTATGGGGGTGGTCTAGGTCCCTATGGCCGCGGTGGCGGCTATGGAAGTTATGGAGGGGGTGGATCAGGTCCTACCTATGATTCTGGCCCCGGTGCTGGATATGGCGGGCCTGGCGGGGGAATGTACGGTGGTAGGGCAGGTTATAGTGGCAGTAGTCGATACCATCCTTATGCCCGGTAGATGCCCTTAAGCATCTTATAGAAGCTCTCTTTCCAACTCTTGCCTCAAAGTCGACTAGAATTCCATGTCTAAGGAAGGAGACAACCTCTAGAAGCCTGGAAGGAACCTAGTTTCTGCTGTTACTTATTTATGCTATATGCTAAGTATGTTTTTACATTTAAGGATTATTAGATCCTGTTGAGAACTTTCATTGCTGTTCTAAGCTAGACATCTCCTGTATGAATTGTATTTTAGCTTTTTGTCACAGTATAGAATGCCTGTTGGAGGTTTTTTCTTTCTTTCTTTTTCTTGCTTAGATGTGTTCGATATCTAGAACTCTATGCTCTACCTGTGTCAGATCATCAAATTCTAGCTACAAGAATTGTTGTCTGTTAAACATCCCTACCTGCGATTTATTTCATTATTGTCATTAGTAGTAGTAGATCGAGTCGGATATTTGCTTAGATTTTTACATCATAGCAGCATATAGGAAAACATAATAGAATCTTAACCTAGTAGAGAGGAAGAATAATGTAATTGATTCTGGGATTTGGTAAGGACCCATCCTGGAAAGCCTTGGGCAGGTTAAACCAACCGTGTCGTTGCTGCAGGAGGTATTTAATCTAAACCATTGCATTTCAGTTGCTGATTTTTTAGGCACCCCACCCCCATATTTGCTGCCTCTTCTAACTACTTGTGGCTTTTGCAGATTATATTTCCTTTGTTAGTTTAATAGCCCTTTTCATGTGCTTGTGTTAATATATAGTTATGCTGGTTTGATTCATCCCTGTTGTTTTTGTATGAGAGACTGTATTTATTAGTTCAGATAAAGATGCTGTGCGTTGGGACATTTTTTACCATAAAGATTTTGTTCAGCTTCGAATAATATGACTGTGTGATAGCTTCGAATAACGCTTTGGGTGTGTATCACAATAAGCACACAAGCTAAGTGAATGCGGGTGGATGACTTTGGGTATGTTTCTTTCGATATAGTTTGGAAAATTTTGGTTTGGATTTGATATTAAAATAATGTATGACGGGGAGGTACTCTTACATTTTATTTTCCTACTTAAATAGTTTATGAAACCACTATAGATTGAAGTAACGCATCAATTATATACTATTTTGGATAGAGCCAAAAACAATAGTCTTCTATCAAGATCGATTGCCTACATGGTTTGAGGGATTGTGACCTTGTTTTCTAGTCTAGAAAGGGCAAGTAATGGGAAGAAATGAGATTTTTTTTTTTTTTTTTTTGGATGATGTGGGAATCCGCAAGCCGCTACCCTAAAGTGCGCACTGGGTAAATCCTCGATCGAATCTAATATCCTGTAAATCAGGCCCGACGGAAAGGTAGAACCATGTGTTGCAGGTGACCTGAGACGTCGGGAGTTTGAACTTATGACCTCATGGTCACAAGTCTAACCTCTGCACCACCTGACCATTACTTACGGGACAAGAAATGGGATTTTTGAATGAATGGAATTGTGTATCGATTTTTGAAATCATCAATGGTTCATTTCACTTATGTTTTTAAATGGATTGATTTTTGGCGTAGTATGAAAATTTTTATTAAAAATATAATATATGTTACTCTAAGTTGAATATTTGATTTTTTAAAAGTATTTTAAGTGTTCTTTTTTACTTTTTTTCCTTTTTTTTTTAATTATTTTGTAATTAAGTATTTGATTTTTTTTTATATACTTTTTTATTTTTGTAAAAGGTATTTTCTAAATTTGTATTATTATTTTTGGGATATTTTAATTTAAAAATAGTGTTGGGATATATTGTTTAACGAAATCTTAATTTTCAAACCACAAGAAAAGTTATGATTGATTTTGCCTTAAAGGTTGCTCAACTAATATTTTAAATTTTTTTGAGCTCACATTTTCTTAAAAATTATAATCCGTTTAAATGTTCTAAATATTATACTACATAAAATTTATATATATATATATATTTTATTTTTTTTAAATAATAAAATTTTATATAATATAAATAAATAAAAAATACTCTCCTCGTTTATCACGAATATATTCACAAATTTTATAATATTAGTATTTTATAAGTATTTTGTTTATAAATTTTTTTTTTAGTAATTTTTGCTTGCTTATTATTCAAACTTGTGTGATGCAATCCTAAATATATTTTTAAAATGAGGCTATTTTCGAGTGATTCGAGACAGTTTAGTGCCTCTTAATCGGTTTTAGATCGCTTGTTGCGTCAATTTTATTTCTTAATTATTTCAAATTATCCTTCTATATTCCTTATTTGATTTACAAATTTTGTATTGTGTATTGCTCAGTTCTCATTTAGTGTTTATCCGATCAACCTTATGAATCGAAAAATTAAAACATTATTTTATCTATATCATTTTAGTCTCTATTCTTCCATCAAATTCTAAACATTTCTATTTCTTTATATTACTTGCGAGTTTCCAATCACCAAAGTCCATTAAGTCCACATCACTGAGTAAACTCATTCTGAATAAAGTACCAGTCACTATATGCATGTAAATAAAAATACTCTTTCCGTCTCAATACAATAGTCTTGTTTACCATTTTTGTCTCTCAAAACAATAGTCTCATTTCTATAAATAATCATATTATTATAAAATTATCCTTATTTTTTCATTATTATTATACAATTGTCGTTACTTTTTACGCTAATATATTCACAAGTGCAAAAAAAAAATTTATTCGTATTTTTACCCATTATCAATATTTTTTATATCTCGTGCCGAACACAAGTTCCAAAAGCGAGGGAGTACCAGCAATCATTAAGAAGTGCAATTACTTGAAGCATCTGAATTACGTATGTTTTATTGTTATAGCCAAACCCGAATAGGGCAATACAAAACAAAAATGAAAAAAAAAAATCCAAACTCATAAAAATACATTATACACTCTAAAGCAAAGATCACAAGAGAAGAAACTCTTCAAAAAAGCACCAGCAGCCACCTTAGATACTCGCAAGGTTTCACAACCGAAAATGAGTCTTTTTCGAGCAAAAGTCGAAGCTATAATGTCCACACGAGTGGACAGTCATAATACATTCTACATACAACATGAATATGTCCTCTTCTATATGATCTCCCTGCTCTCCTTCCAGATGAAATTATCCTAATTATTCATTCCCATACTCGATTAATTATTTCAGCGCTTTTAATGCATGTATAAGTATATTTTTACGCATACTCGGGATTTAATTCCAAGGCCTCCTTGTAAATCATGTCCTTGATCTGCTCCTCCGTCAGCACTTGCTGCTCGAAATCAAATGAGAATGGCTCCGGGCACATGGGCTCATCTGCGACATCGTGTAATCTTGCAAGGTATGGATGCTCCAAAGCTGCTTCAACTGAAACAAGAATCCGTAGAATAATCAAATATATGTATATATATATATATCTATATTATATCATGTCGAGCTAAAATAGCTAGTTTCATTAATGGTGTTTCAATTAATCTTGGCAGGTTAAAAATGGGATGGATGATGCAAGGGATCCGAGTGAAGAAAAATAAATTACCTGTAATTCTCTTGGAGGGGTTTATTGTGAGCATTTTGTCGATGAGATCAACGGCCAGAGGATTGACATGCGGGAATGCATTCGCAAGATTCTTACGGGAGTGCTGTGGGAGTTGGCGTATGTATCTTCTGGCATCCTCATTTCGTGTGAAATCTATGTCTGAATCAGTGGGTGTGCCGAGAAGCTACACAACACAAACACATTACAATAAGACTATCCAGCTGGCTAGCTAATTTGTAAATTAATTGGAGACAGTGATTCATTCATTCATATATACCCACGTACCTCAATCAAGAGGTGCATCTGATGAACATGATCCTTCCCGGCGAACAAAGGCTTCCGATTCATGAGCTCCATGAAAATGCAGCCAACTGACCACACATCTATTGCAGCAGTATACTCGGAGGAGTTGAGCAGTAGCTCGGGTGCCCGGTACCATCTTGTGACAACATACTCAGTCATGAACTCGTTTTCTGAGTTGGGGCGGGCAAGACCAAAGTCGCATATCTTGAGGTCACAATTAGCATTCAAAAGCAGATTGCTAGGCTTCAAATCACGATGGATCACACCCGCTGAATGTATGTATTTGAGGCCGCGTAAGATCTGATACAGAAAATACTGAAAACAAGAAACAGAAAGTATAAGAAAAATGCCATTTAGCAAGTTTTTCAGAATCTCTGAATCCAAGAGAATGAGGAATTGAATGATCATTCATTAGTACCTGACAGTGTTCCTCTGATAAACCTTGGTTAGATCGTATTATCTGGTGAAGATCGGTGTCCATGAGCTCCGTCGCGATGTAGACATCGCTGAATTCCCTCCTCAGAGGAGGCGGAACCACATCTCTTATGGCGATAACCTGCATTCAGAAATGATTCAGCTTGATTTATGTTTGTAACCTCATCATCAATGATGGTACACAACTTTCTGCAACTTGGCAATAAGCTCTTCATGGAAATTTTTGAATTTCCAAACACAAGAACACACTTATAGAGATATATTTTATCTCCGTCTTGAGTTTCAATTACTGACAATAATTTCATCAAAATCATCATCAACTGTGCAAAAATTCATCACAATATTTGCAAACAAAAAGTTTAATTAGTAACAACAGACTAGGTATCCAGCTACAGCAGATTAAGGCTAACTGTGTGCAAAAATCGTGGTCAGTTAAAAGTACAAGAATCTAAGGAAGCAACGGCAGGGGAGAGGAAGAAATCATCAGTCAGTCAGGAACGAAGAGAAGAGAAGAGAAGAACAAACATTTTCATGGTCCAAATGGCGAAGAAGCTTTATCTCTCGAAGAGTCCTCTTCGCATCCATGTAATTATCGAAAGCATTCGCGATCTTCTTCATCGCCACCATCTCGTTCCTCTCCGTGTTCAAAACCGAGCTTCACAAACCACAGCAAAAACACAAAATCAACTTCCAAACATCACGAGAATCTCAGAAACCATTTAACAAACAGATCGCCTGCACTAATTTCTCTCACCACACTATCCCGTACGCTCCGCGACCGATCGGCATGATCGGCGGGCGATACTTGGCGGTTATCTCGAACAAGTTGCTAAATATGTTGTATTGTATGTACTGGCCGCCGTGGGTCGCCACCGCCGGAAACTCGGGGTACTGGCCGCCGGTGCCTCCCGTTTCCCCCATTCTTTCCTTTCAAAAAGTAAATAGACGAGACACAAGAAATTGCCGGTCTACGTATACGTACGGTGCAGAAGAATGAATTCTCCGCGTCTGAGCTGCAGCATCCCATGGACCATGACCTCTAATTATATACTCCATGAAGATGAGGTCAGGAGCCAGGAAAGAGGGAGGTAGGAAGAAGGAAACCGCGTGCAGAGGAACTCAACTCAGGATAATTGAGTATGTTTGTTCGAAAGGGATGTTTCAGAGATTAGCCGCCGGAGATCGACGGCTGTCGTTGGTCTTCGTATGAATCCTACGGTCACAGGTGACTGTAAGGATATTGTCACATGTGCTGACTTTTTAAATATTAATTATCATAATTACATTAATAATATAAATTAATGATACAAATTAAGTATTAATTTTTTAAGGCATTTAGCATTATGAAGGCTGAAAAGTTCTACCAGCATATCATCCTTACTTCTTTTTAAATCGGAGTCAAAGAGTTCCCTTTTTTTTCTTTTTTTTTTTTTTTTTAATACTGACTATGGATTTTGAATTTAGGTTTCTATTTGAATTCCAATTTAATAATATTTTAATATTCCTTTGGTTTCAATTCAACCGAGTTTTTTAGGTTGTGTAATAAATAAAAAATAAATAATTATCCTTTCGTCTCGGATACCGTGTCTGTTACACTGTAGACACGATATTTTATATTTTAGGAGATGTGTAATTAGTAAATAATTAAAAATGTATTAGTGAAAATAATTATCTATAATATAAATAATTATAAATTAAAATTAAGATAACTAATTAGTTTAATTAAAATTAAAAAAAATAAAATTTAAAATGAGATTAAAGTGTGTAATCATTTTCCAAAAAATGAAAGTGACATGGTACGTGAGACGGACATAAACGGTAATGTGGACATTGTATCTGGGACGGAGGGACTATTTTCTTAATGGGTTGAAACGTGTAAATTTTTAATACTTTTGTTTTATGTATAAAGTAATTGTATATATAATAGTATATTTGTAATTTAAATAAAAATTAAGAGTATTTTTTTCTTAGTATATAATTATTTTTTCTAAAAATAAGAAAAAAATATTTAAATAAAAATGATAAAAAGTATACTTTGAATTGAAAAAGGAGTATATTTTATAAAATAAAATAATATAATTTAATTAAAAATTATGTATTGAATGTTAATTATTTTAATTTTGAAATGCAAATAAAATAGAGTCTTTGGTGTGGTTTTTTGTCAAAGAAAAAATAAAATATATTTTTAAAAAAAATTTTATATGTTACATGTATTTATTATTTTTATATTATGGATATAATTTTTATATTTCATGTAAAAAAATATTTGCTTCATCTCCATAACTTTTCCTGCCAGACGAGAGCAGGTTTGCTTCTCCAAGTGCTCCTTTCAACACCCTGGCTGGACAAATAGCCTCCGAGTGGATGAAAATGGTCAGGTTTTGATTCCACATGAATCTTGTTCGTTAAACTTTACAAACTAACACTAAAAATTATATTCAGTTCAGTTCGCTATTAAGAAGTCAACTTGAAATGTTCGCAAAAGAATTTTATAATGAATTTGTGTAAGAAAAAAAAAGTCTATAAATTTTTTAGATATAATATAATGATATTTTAGTAAAGAAAAGCAAACATAAACTAAATTGATAATTTTTCGGGAAATTATGGGCTATAAATAAAAATGAGCTAAGTAGATGAAGAAATAATTCTAAATGAAAATTGACACTATTTAGGTGCATCAGATATATATATTTCATTGAATGTGCTTTAATATATTAAAATTTTATATGATTCTTTATTAAAAAAATATTGAATTTATTTTTGGTATTTAATTTTAATTATAAATTAAATTTATATCAGAGTTATTCATGATTCTGTACTATAAAATAATATATTCTATGAAATTTTTTTAAAAACACAGATATAGTATAAGTAGGGGTGTCAAATCATTTTCTTGGGTCATGTTCGTGTCGGATTGAGCCATGAGAATAACAAAAAAACTGTCAATCCGAACCCGATTCGAACCCGAAATCTGACCTGAAACCCTAGATCCGAGCACGGTACGAATTCTTTCAGGTCGGGTTCAGGTTGACCTGAATTAGTTTCAGATCACTCGAAACCCGAACAAACCCGATACGAACCCGACACGAAACAGACCAGAAAATTTTTTAAAAAAAAATTAAATTGACCTAAAGAATATCATTTTTATTTTAATTTTTATATTATTTTATATTTAAAATAATATAAATATTATAAATTAAAATAATAATAATAATAAAAATTTCAGGTCAATCCGAAACACGAAACTCAAAATCTAATCTGATTTTGATATTTCAGGTTATCAGGTTAACCCGAAACACGACCCGAACACGACACGAATTTTTTTCGTTTCAGGTTCGGATCGACCTGATTTTTTTCAAACCCGAAATACCCAAACCCGAACCTGAAAATTTTCAGGTCGAACGGATTCAGTTTTTCGGGTCGGGTTTACTTTTGACACCGCTAAGTGTAAGCATTATATATGTGTATAGCCTCGTATCATTTAGGAATACTAGAAATTATTCCGTTTCCTAAGCCTAATTATTAGAATCACTGTGTACTAATTATATACAAGTAGAGCATGGTTGACTGTTTCATTGTACATTGGCCAATATATGGTGAATAATGTAAATTTAACTAATAATAGCATCAGCGTGTCAACATTGACCAAATAAAATAAGCTCACGAATGGGAACTTGTATTTTGGGCAACCAGTCAAGGTCAATTGGTCATGCCAAATAAAATAAATTATCTATATATATGTCACAATTTATGTCACAATTTTGTATTTGTATTTGTGCTTGATTTTATTAGGGGGTTTATTGGGAAGCAAAAAATTCAATTAAAACATGAAATATGATTTGTACGTGATAAATTGTGCTCCCTCCGTTTTGGTTAAAATGACACAGGATACGATATTTTAGATCGTTTAGATTAGTAAATTAGAAATAATAAGTTATGATATTTTATTATTGTATTATTTTTTTTTATATGAATAGTGTTATTGATATTTTAAATATCTTTAGTGTTATATTTTAATAAAATATACACGATATGAATATCAATTTGTAAAAAATAAAATTTTATATAATACAAATAAATAAATAAATCATTTGTTTCTTTATAATTAACTTAAAACTAATCTTATAAAAAAATAAAAAATTTTAAATATATATAAAATATTTATTTATTAAAGAGAGGGATAGAAAAAAAAAAGTGTTAGAAATTTCAGAGGAGGAAAAATAATGAGATTGTGTTATTAATCATTAAAATAAGAGACCTATATATATATATAGGTAATACAAAACAGACTCGATAGACTCAAATATAATATATGGATAAAACCAAATCTAAATATAAATCTACTAAATGTAAAACTGAATATTTAAAATATCTCAACAACCCCTCAAACTCAAGTCATATAGCAGAAACCAACTTGAGTTTGATAAGAAAGTTGAATATAAACACAAAAAAAATAAATAAAATAAATAAATAAAATTAACAATTGATTCTCTACCGGAGCAAAAAATGAGATGACTTTTCACCAAGAGCAAAAAACGAGATGACTCTCCACCGGAGCTGAAAACGAGATGACTCTCCACCGGAGCCGAAAACGACATGACTCCACCGGAGCCGAAAACGACATGACTCTCCACCAGAGCCGAAAACGAGATGACTCTCCCCAGAGCCGAAAACGAGATGACTCTCCACCGAAGCCGAAAACGATGAGAGTACTCTCTACAAAGTCGAAAATAACAAGACTCTAATTGCAATCATAAATATGGCTCTGGAGAAACGCAGTAGACGGATTGTAGAATCGCAGATAGATGCGCAGACGTGACTTCGATTGTAGATAAAATCAGGACTCAAAACAGAATTAAAATCAGAAACACGAAGACTAGAAACCATGGTCAAAATCTCAAAATTGGAAGACCTCCAGGTACATCCCAGGTTGAATGTACCCGGAGAAACGTGGGTTGGTAGGCTATATCTACGATAGGAGAAAAGTAGACTCTGATACCATGTTAGAAATTTTGGGGAAAAAATAATGAGATTATGTTATTGATCATCAAAATAAGGGACCTATATATAGACAATACAAAACAAACTCGATAGACTCAAATCTAACATATGGATAAGACCAAATCTAAATATAAATCTACTAAATCTAAAACAAAATATCTAAAATATTTCAACAGGGTTTTGAATGGGTCCTACATGTAAGAGATTAGAAATCCCTTTACTTGATGCAATTAAGCAAGTTCCCCGTTATGCGAAATTCCTAAAGGAGTTGTGTACCAAGAAACAGAAGTTGAGAGGGGACAAAAAGGTGCTAGCTGGAGAGACTGTGTCCGTTGTGTTGCAAAGGAAATTGCCACAAAAGTGCGGAGATCCAGGTATGTTTGTAGTCCCATGCAAAATAGATAAGATGGAAATTAAAAGAGTTGTGCTAGATTTAGGTGCAGCCATTAATGTTATGCCTAAGTCTATTTTTAACTCTTTGAACATTGGGCCTTTGAAAGAAACGGGGATAATAATTCAACTTGCCGATAGAACCAACACTTACCCTGAAGGGATAATTGAGGATGTTCTTGTGCAAGTGAATGAGTTAATATTCCTTGTTGATTTCTATGTTCTAGATATGCATGATGACAATTCACCTAATCCCTCCCCCATTTTTCTTGGACGGCCTTTTATGTGCACCGCACAAACAAAGATTGATGTTAAAACAGGGACACTGACTATGGAGTTCGAAGGTGTAAAAGTTCATTTTAATATTTTTGATGCAATGGGATATCCTGTGGAGCCTAATACTTTGTGTTGTGTAGATGTTTTTACTCAAAATGTGCAGGAAGTCTTTGACTCGAGTGGAAAGGATGAATTGGAGGTTGCACTCACAAACTGCTTGGACATGAACTCTATGGATGAATTTCCCATAAATGGTGCATTGGAAGAAATGATTCTACTTTACAATCTCTGCCGCATGAACCATTAAGGTATGTTGTGGTTAATTCAGTTTTAACAAAATCTGATAAGGGGTTGTTGCCATCTGTTGTGCAGGCACCGGCTTTGGAGATGAAGCCATTGCCCTCGAACTTGAAATATGCTTTCCTAGGAGTTGGAG